AGCATCGACCCATGAACCAGGAGATCACGGTTCAGTTCCCAGTCAGGGCACATGCATGGGTTGTGAACTTGATCCTCGGGGGGTCGGAGAGGGGTGGGCATGCAGGAGGCAGCAAATCAAGATTCTCTCTCATCATTGATGTTTCTCTCTCTCCCTCTCCCTTCCTCTCTCGAAAATCAATAAAAACATATTAAAAAATTAAAACAAAAAAATTAAGTATCTTTCACTTGGCTCTTTCAGGACATACCCTCAAATATCCTTAGGAGGGCGGTGGGGAGGGTGCCACTCCCAGCTTTGCATTGGGACTCCTTATGTGGACAGAGGTCATGGAGAGGCAGTCCTGGCCAGAGCCATTTCACTGACTGAGAGAGTGACCAAGACCAGTTACTGAAGTCCACTGAAGAATCTTTTGACCAACCCCTGCTAAGCAGGACAGGAAATTTCAGGGTTTAGCCATACTTCAGATAAATCCTGAGGTTCCTTCATTCATTCACTCACTTGTACCACACGCATTTCTCGAACACCTGCTGTGTGCCAGGCACTGTGCCGTAAACAGGCATAATGATAAACAGCGTCCACATGTAGCCCCCGCCTCCTCAGCTTGATTATTAGAGGAGCTGGACATTAAACAAATCATTACCCAAATAATCATATTTTGTAATTGTGGTAAGTGCTGGAGCCTTTCCTTAAGTAACTGAACTTCCTCTTGGTGCCTCTTGGTCTGAAATATACTATGATACAACAGTTCACCTTGAGAAGAGGAAGTACAGAGACGCAGGTCCTGGGATGAAATATTCCAATAACATCCACAAGTCTGTGGTCATACATGAGAACCCACTGGATGGCACCGTGAAAGCTGCCCGTTGTCATTGTTTTATTTGCTTTTGGAGACCACATCAGACGCCACTGATGCTTTCTGGCAGAGCCTGTTTTTGGTTCTCCCTGGAGAAACAGGTGTGGAAAGCTAGATGGTTGTGAAAGGCAAGGTCATGAACCGTCCCTACTTCTAGGCAGAGCAGTCTTCAGCTCCCTCCAGGGTTGCATCGGTACCTCTGGCACTCAGATTGGTTATTAAATTAAAATTTTAGACCTTTAAGCTTTCTTCATACTGTTTGAAGAAGCTATAATTCACATCTCCTAAGCAGCTCAGCAGAACTTGGTTGCTAGGCAGCAGACCTTTAACAATTTGTCAATTTCTGCCAAAATAGAGAAAAATAGTAAACATTCACATTCTTAGAAAATTGCTTGTTTTCCAGCTTCTAACTTTCTTGCCACAGCAAGGCTTCCAGTTTATCAGTGGCCATTTTATTCTTTATTTAGTTTTCATAAATAATTCAGAAGCAGTTTAAGAGAATAATTGAGCCTTTTTTCAAGCCTCACCTCTGGCAACTCAAAACAAAGATACTTGGTTTACAACTGGGTTGCCATATTTGTGGATGGGTTTTTTTGTTGTTGTTGTTTTAAATATTTTTTATTGATTTCAGAGAGGAAGGGAGAGAGAGAGAGGTAGAAATATCAATCATCAATGATGAGAGAATCATTGATCAGCCACTTCCTACATGCCCCATACTGGGGATAGAGCCTGTAACCTGGGCATGTGCTCTGACCGGGAATCGAACCATAACCTCCTTGTTCATAGGTCGACGCTCAATCACTGAGCCACACTGGCAGTGCTGGACAGGTTTTATATGAATGTACAGAGGCTTCTCTGAAAGGTAGAGTGCTCAGCTGTATGTAGCCTTGGGCAGCACCACAGCAAGGTGGTGGCAGGTCCATGGGAGGTTCTTGAGTCCTTCAGCTTTTGTTAGCACCTAGCATGTGCCAGGCCCTGTGCACTGCTGGGCTCCAACCTGCTGCCCGGCCAGACCTCACTGAGATCACCTTCTCATGGGGAGACATGGCAAGAAACCAGGAGATTCCCATATTGGGGCTATGGGAGTTCAGCGGAAGCCCAGAACCCAGCCTGGGATTGGGGAAGGCTTCCCAGAGCAGATGTGGGCTGAACTGAGACGTTAAGGATGAAGCAGGCCAGCCCCACCTGGGCAAGAGAGAAGAGTGTCCCCGCAGAGTCCTCCCGTGTGCTCTGGAGACTGCATCTGTACAGGCACGGGGCCTGGTATGCCTTGCAGCTTAGTCTGAGGGCAGTTGCAACTTAGTCTGAGGGCAGTTGCAACTTGCAAAAGTCCCCACCTGATTTGCATAGTGGAGTCCTAGCAGAAGCCACTTGGTTTGACCTCAGGTTCACTCAAGGGAATTGACAGCCCTGTGGCCAAAAGGGGCTGTGGGGGAGTGTGGATGATGTCAGAATGGCCTTGGCGTGGGGTACTTTTGCCACTTCCAACATGCGGGACCTTGTCAAGGTTCTTTAACTAGACTGAGTGCCAGGTTTCTCAGCTTGAAAATAGGAATGATGGTAGCTCCTACCTCAGAGTTGGTATAGGGTCTGATAATAAATTAACTCAAGAACAGCTGGTACTGGGCACACAGTACTCTTTACCATTGTGACAGTGCTGCCTTACTGTGCTTACGTGAGTCCTCTGCCCGAAAGGGCCACTGGTGTCCAGCCTGCCACCTGCTCCCTGAGTGACCCAGGACGAAACAGAACTCTGTTGAGATCAGACTCTTCTCTCTCCTGAATCTCCCTGGCCGAGTTGAGCCCAGGACCCCTTCCTGCTTGGAATTCTCAATCCTGGGCCTGTTCCTAGGTCAGGGTCACTTCTCCCCAGCTGGTGTGGCTTGGCACTCTGGCCTCTCCAACTCCAGCTCGGGCAGCACCCTGGTCTTTTGGCTTTGAACCCTGCAGACTAGAGGCTGTGTGTTGCTTTGTTCAGGTTCAACTTTGGATATATCTATGAGATGTCTCACCCTGTTAATGTGGGTTCAAAAAGCACTGCCAGGAGCCAGCTGGGAGCCTCAGATTCATCAGATAATTCCTCAGAGAAGCCCTTTCATTCATTTGCTCAGTCACCTATTATGTGCCAGTCACCATGCACTGAGAATGCAGCAGAGAACAGGACAGGTGTGTCAGGGGAGAGGATGTGAAACAAGCAGCATGAGTGCACCAGTTCAGATGAAGTACTGGGAAGTGAGGCAGGATGCCGGGATAGAAGGTGGCTCTGTCGGGCAGTTGGCGTTCCCTGAGTCAGGATGATCAAGGAAGGAATCCCAGAGGAGGTGGCATTTAAACTATACCACAGGGTGACGGAACAGCAAAAGATTTTAAACACATCCATGCCTCTTTGGAGGGGCTCACAGGGACACTAAGTTCTTGAAGGGTTGCTATCGGGGCAGGAAGATGGACGGTCCAGATGGGCAGCTCCCCTTGGCACCAGGGCTTTGGCTGTCATGCCCTTGGCTTGCCTGGGTTGGGAGAGCTTTGAGGCAGTGATGAATCCACTGTGGGTTCAGTTCACCCACCAGGTCTTGTACTGGCGCCCAGAGGGAAGTAACCCAGCCCCAGCCCTGCTGGGCTTGGCTGAGGCCACAGCTAAGAAAGGCCCCCACAAAAGCACTGAGTACCTGAGTTTGTGTTCTTGTATCAGCTGGTTTACTGCTTGCTAATAAGATATGCAAATCATCAGGGCTGTAAAATCTTCACCACATTCCATCTTCTGTTTAATTAGCATTTAATTGTAATCTCATTTTAATTTTTTCACACTGGCACCCTAATTAAATGTTAGGGTATTCTTCTTAACAATTAAATTATATTGGCAAATAGAATCTTCAAGAAATTTGACCTTTTTCAAGCCAGGGCCCTCTCTGGCTAGATGCAGATGTTAATTAGCTTTCTGAAAGATGCTGCCTCAAACCCCCTTGGTGCACCCATTTCAGTTCTTTTCTTGCTGTTCTGGCCCTAGATTCAAATGAGACACTCACAGCCAGTGACTTGGGCCCCAGTAGGCAGAGGTTACCATGAATGAGTTTGTCATGAGCCTCCGAAAGGCCAGCAGATGCTGACTTTTCCAGGGAGGGGTGGTTTTAAGTTTGGTCTGAGGCCTTGAGCACTCCTTGAAGTGGTTTCTCTTGTCTCGTTGACGCAATCACTTCTTTAACTTATGATTCTCATGTGATGATCACTGGGAAAGTTGGTACCTACATAAGTGACATCGTTTGGAGCTGCCACCAAGTCCCTCAGCAGCCCTTCCTGGGCGGCCACCTGAGGTCAGGTAACCAGGGCACGAGAGTCACTGCCAGTGCCACTGGGGCTGGGCTTAGAGATTGTTTGGGGAGATGGGGGCACAACAGGCAGAAGGTTGGGAAGAACAATTTCCTCAGTGATCAGAGAAAACCAAAGCATGAGTGTGTGTCCACTCAGTGGCCTGGCTCTGAGGGGGCTTGGATGGGCTTGATTGAGAAGGAATCCAACCCCGTCCTCCTGCCCCGTCACACGTAGAGGATGGAACTGGGGAGCCCCTGCTGAACAGGGACCTGGTGTCCTTGTTCTTGAGAGGGCTTCGGGACCCTGACCCATTGGAAGTGTGTCTTTGGGGTTGCCCCAAACCCTACCTCCCCTCAGCTGTTTGCATAAGGTCCTGGCATTTCGTTTGCCCTGGTTGGTGCCCTGCAGTCTTTACATCTCCACTGTGCCTGTAGCACTATGTTTGCAACTACAAACATAATTTTAAGCATTTGACAGAAATTCCCCAGTCACTTAATGGCAGTATGCATTCACAAAGGCCTTTTTTTTTTTTTTTTTGCCTTTCCCAGCCTTTCCTGTTCCCTCTGAGATCCACTCCCATTCATCACTGTCCTTTAACAGGTCAGGACACATATGAATTCAATTTAACACATTTATTGAATATCTGCTGTGTGCAAAGCACTGTGCTGGGTTTAGAGAAGGAAGATGCATTATTGCACTTAGTGCCTTTGTGTTGGCTTCTGACTTTAAGTGAGTGGTAGAAAGCCCACTTGAGTTGTATTTGCCTCTTCCTCCCCTGGCCTGGGGAGCGGACCACCCGGAGGCAGTTTGAAGCCACTCTCACCATCCTTGCTCCCAACAGGTTTTCCGGACAGACTTGATCACAGCGATGAAGATCCCAGATTCATACCAGCTCAGCCCGGATGACTACTACATCCTGGCGGATCCGTGGCGACAGGAATGGGAGAAAGGTGTGCAGGTGCCCGCCGGGGCAGAGGCCATTCCAGAACCCGTGGTGAGGTGAGCCGGGCAGCCCAGGCTAGGGGCTCAGGTAGGGGAAGAAGGGGGGGCTAGGACCCCACATGGGACCCACCAGTCCTGGGCTTCCTTGCTAGCCTAGCTTTATTTTGTCTTAGATTATTTTGGCCCATAAACCATTGAAATATTCCAGAAATACTAGCAGTTTACCTTTGAGACTAACATCTTGAGCTTGGGCTCAGCTGTGGAGCCAGACAGCCTAGGTTCAAATGGCCATTCATAGTCAGTATGATGTTGGGCCAGAAATACAATCTCCCTGGGCCTCAAGTTTCCTTGTCTGTGAAATGGGAATGACAATAATATTTACCTCCTACTTAGTGGTGGAGTTGATGTAGGGAAATGATGCCTGAAAGGCATTTGGCACAGGGTCTGGCACACAAGTATTCAGTAACAACTGGCCCGGATTAGCTTGATGTCGATCCAAAGTAGGTCCCACAAGCACGTCTTAATCAGGGAAATCTGCAGACTTTTAATGACTCCTTAAGACAGGGATAAGCCATGCTCTTGACTTCTTAAACCTTTGTAAGGAGTTCTTAGTCGGAGGGATGCTCAGGAGGCAGCTGCTGTGACCAGCCTCTGAGGAGGCCCCCTGCCAGGGCTGAGTCCCCTGGGCTTGTGGGTCAGCGAGACCCCTGGTGCTCTTGTCAGGAGGTGGCCTCATGGCCATGGGCCATGCCTCCAGCAACAGAGGTCAGCCAAGTGCTTCTTTCTGTAGCCTGGGAAACCCTCCAAGTCATGCCTTGGGGCAGAGGGGCCTGCTGTCCTGCCCTCCCCCACCCACCAGCTCGCCAGGGTTGGACAGCTTGTGTCATTAGCAGTCCACTCCTGGCCTTGGCAGCCCCCGAGCTCTTGCTCAGGCCCATTTGACCGGGCCTGGGGCAAAGATCACAGCTGTCACCTCCCATGACATTGGCACTGCTGCTTTCTGGCAGCCACACCCATGACTGGCTCACAGACACCCAATGCCCTCTTGGTGCCAGGCCTGTGCTGGGCATGGATTATAGAGGCAACGCTAATCCCTGCGCAGGTGCTCTCAGTCAGGATTGGGTACTGGGCAGGGCTCATCCTCCTGTGGCTCCTGAGGGCTGAGTGCCTACCAGCACTGGTCTGGGGCCTTTGAGAATCAGGGAGCCCCAGGTTCTCTGGGAGACACACATGAGACTTGTAGGAAAGGACTTATTCTCCACATCCCCTGCCCAGGCCCAAAAATGTGGGGCAGGCTCCTGGCCAGTTTCACACCCTCACCTCTGCAGACAAGAACTGCCACTGCCCTTTTGAGCCTGTTTCTCCTCTGTCAAATGGAGCTAAAAACAGTACCTGCCTGGTGGTGTGCTGGTGAGGCCTGAATGAGAAAACATGGGCCAGGAGCCCAGGGTAATGAGCGGGGGCACCAGCTGGGTGGAAAGAGGTGAGTCCTGATGAGGCTCAGCCCAGCAGTCTGCCCCTCTCCTTGATGTCAGTGTCAGGTGGTTCGGGAAGCATCGCTGGCCTGGGTAATTAACTGCAGATGCTTCCACACCAGTAGCTTGGCTTCAGCCTGCCTTATCTGTTGACATCAAGAGGAGAGCACGTGTTCAGGCAATTCTGGCTCTGCTGGGTGCATTCCCCACATATGCATGTGCTGTAAGCTGACAGGAGCCAGGCAGCCTGGCCTGGCCATGCTCTTTGAAGAGGATAGACTGCAGGCAGGGAAGGGTGTGCTTCTTGGAGAGATCTCCATGCCTCTTCTTCCCATGTCTCCCTCCACCTTCTTCAGCACCTCCTCCCGCACGGCCCTTGTCTGGAGGCCAGCGTGGCAGCCACTATAAGTCAAAATTCTTATAGGAACTCTCTTTCTGAGAACTTGCTGTGCTGAGCCTGTTATGTTCATCTTCTCACTTAATTATCATATTAGCCCTATAAAGTACATATTACTGTCCCCATTTTATAGATGAGGAAGTTGGGAAATTCTGGGGAATTCCCTGCATGAGTGTCAGGGCCTAGTGGGCTGGGCCAAGAAATCGCAGGCCCTGGGAACAAGCCCTGGGTCACCCCCGTGAGGCCCAGAGAGAGCCTGTGCCCTGACCACCCTGCGTGTTGGTTCTGACTGCCCTCCCTGGCTGCTCCCCCGGCCCCTCTGTCTCTGCCTCCTTCCCCCGTCTTCCCCGGCCCTTGGGCAGGTCTGCCCACCGCATGGTCTGAAATGTATCTGGGTGATGAGAATCTGTCTTGCCCCCAGATCAGGCCCTGAGTGAGGGCTTACCCTGCTCCCTCAGTGTGTCCAAAAGACTCAGCCCCAGGCCGAACCACCCTCTGGTGTCTGTTTGGTCTTTTGGAGTAGAGACCCCGCCCCTCTCCCGGATCCCAGCGCAGCCGCCCATCTCCTCCCAGCTGACCTCAGTACAGCTGGCTGCGGCTGAGACCGAGACCTGGCCTAGGGTCAGGCTGGTCCATGCCTGGTGCGAGAGCTTCCTCCTTAGCTAGAGCCAGAAGAGGCCGAACGGATGAAGGTGAGGCCCAGGAAGCACAGGAAATGCCTTTCTGATGAGCCTCTTAACCCCAGCTTCCCAGAGAAAGGAATGTGATTCTGGCCCCAAGAGCTCTGGCCAGGTGGCAACTGCCTGAGCATAAGGTGTGGGCAGTTTATGCTGGTAGGTGGTGGGCCTTTGGGCAAAAGTTATCCAAAACCCCGACTAAGCATATGCTGGGGGGCACAAACAAAGCAAGGTCATGACAGAAATCAGCCTGTGTTTTTAAAAGACTGTATTAATTCAAATCAGAGCCTCATGAGGAAAGGCGTAATTTTTGTAGGACTAAGAGTGTTCATCTTGCTTCTATTTTGGGGGCCCGGCCGGCATGGCTCAGTGGTTGAGCATTGATCTATGAACCCAGAGGTCACGGGCTTGATTCCTGGTCAGGGCACATGCCCAGGTTATGGGCTCGGTCCCCCTGGGAGGTGTGCAGGAGGGAGCCAGTCAATGATTCTCTCTCATCATTGATGTTTCTGTCTCTCTCCCTCCCTTCCTCACTGAAATCAATAAAAATATATTAAAAAAAAAAAAGAAATGACCTTTTGGGGGAACTAGGGGAGTTGTGCTAGCATCATAATCATCATCATCACCCAAAGCTGTCCTTAATCTGGGCCTCTGTGTGGAAAGGTGGCACCAAGCCCTTTCACTTTCCCCTTGCCCCCCTCAACTGCCTCTGGGCTTCCCCCCTGGTCTGGAGGCCATTCTGCCTCCTGTCTCCTTCATCCTTCCTGCCTCTTGCTGACACCGGGGCATTTCCTGGAGTCCGGGGCCCTGCCCTCTCCTGTCTGCTCTGAGTCACAGCCCCTGGCAGCCCTGTCTCCAACCCCAGGAGGCCTCCTGGGCAAGTGAGAGGCCTCTCAGCCCCGCAGGCAGGGCTGGCCAGACAGAGGCCAGGCTCCACAGCAATAACCATGGCAACCAGTGGGGGGTGGGAAAAGCTGGCATTTTGAACTGGTACCAGGAACTGAGGGGCAGCACATGCTGAACCAAGAGGGCACGTGTGCCCTCCCAAGGCAAAAAGCGCTCTATTCCATTTCAGAAGGAGCAAAGTGATGTCCAGAGGTCTTAAAACACACACTCACACAGGAAGGGCTTACTGTGTGCCAGGCACTGTTCTAGGAGCTTTACAGGTTTTCATGCATTTCCTCTTCACACCAACCATAGAAGGTAAATACTATTCTTATTAGCCCATTGTCCGGATGAGGTCACTGGGGCACAGAGAAGTTAAGTGGCTTGCCCAGAAGTACCCACTACGTGGGGCAGCAGGGCTTTGAGTCCCCACTCTGCAGCCAGGGCCCTTCCAAGCTGCCTCAGCGGCAGCACCACGCCTGAGGGAGGGTTTACTGGAGTGTGATCTGGGACTGTAGTAGGTGCATCTTAGTATCCAGGGGAGGCAGTGTCCTCTTGGGGTGAGGGGAGCACCGTAGACAGAGACTCGCTGCTCAGGGAACATTCTTTTGAGGGGGAAGGGCAAGGTGTGTGGACAACACTGCTCTCGTGGCAGTAGACCTTTTTTATGTGGGAAGGGCCACCCTGGGTGGCAATAATGTAGCCAGAGAGGACTCCTCTTCACCCAGAGGAAAGCTGGCCTCAGTTCTTCTCAGGTTGTTGGTGAAGGAGGAACCAGGGCTGTGAGGGCCTGGGGACAATCCTGGCCTCTCCGCAGCCTCGAGGGCTGTGCTGACGGACCTGGAGCCCACCCGGCTCTGTTCCACGTGTCCCAGAGTGGCTGGCACGGGAAGTTGCCAAGGACAGCACTTGGAAGGCCTCCTACGGGCCGGGGCAGGGCAGATCCAGATCCTGGGGCTTTAGCTAAGGCCCAGGTGCCCGCTCTGAGCAGAATGGAGGTGTATGGATGGATGTGCAAGGGCTGTGGGTCAGCCCCGGCTCTCATCCTCCACTCTGCCCACAGCCCTTTGTTTGCCTCCCTGCTTGCTCGTAGTCATCTGAGGCTGCAGGGTGGGCAGGCGGGAGAAGGAAGCATAAGAAGGGAGTGAAGTGTGGGCACTGCTTGGATCCAAGTCTCACTAGGTCCTCAGCTGGGCTGGCCAACTCACCAGATGCCTCCAGACCCAGCAAGGGTGGCAGGCTGAGGGTCCTTCCCCTCATGACACCACCCCCTCTTGATTTCCTAGGATCCTCCCGCCGCTGGAAGGCCCCCCTTCCCAGGTGTCCCCTAGCAGCTCCGAACTTGGCGAGGGCTCCCAGCCTGATTGGCCAGGGGGCAGCCGCTATGACCTGGACGAGATTGACGCCTACTGGCTGGAGCTCATCAACTTGGAGCTCAAGGAGATGGGTAGGTGACCTGCCAGGCTGAGAATGGGACCGGGGGAAGGCCAGGCAGGGCTTTCTTCTGAATCCCAGCATCCTCACCCTCAGAAGGACAGTAGCCACGACTGGGCTTTTGCACTGAATGGATCTGGGGTGACAGTCCCTGCAGCATTACCGATTGGAGAATTTGTTGGTGTCTCTGTGCCTGTCTCTGTAGCTGTCAGGTGAGGGTGATACTAGCATGTAATTGACAGTTCTTGGGAATAGGGTTAGTCAGCGTGACTGTTACATGAAGAGTGAGTATGGACTTCCCGGCTGGAGTCCACCAACATGTGTCAGGGCCAGCTCTGTCATATTCAGCCACCTTCAGAGGTCCCCCATTCACACAGCGCAAGCCGTGGACTCCCCATGGAGCCAGCCGCATCCCAGAGATGCTGTCTGCGTGTACACTTCATGTGTGTGGTTGCAGGCAGGCTGTCTAGAGTCAGAACACCACGACAGGCCCCAGGGCCTTTGAGATCGGATGGTCCAGCCCATTCAGTTTTCAGACAATGGAGCTGAGGCCCACGACAGCCCACCTGTTTTCCCAGGTCACACCAGATGAATGGAAGCCCTCCCGTCCATCTGCCCTGAAAAGCCGCACTTCTCACTCCCTCCCCTGTTGTCCTCACAGAGAGGCCAGCGCTGGACGAGCTGACCCTGGAGCGTGTGCTGGAGGAGCTGGAGACACTGTGCCACCAGAACATGGCGCGGGCCATTGAGACGCAGGAGGGGCTGGGCATCGAGTATGATGAGGACGTCGTCTGTGACGTGTGCCGCTCTCCCGAGGGCGAAGACGGCAACGAGATGGTCTTCTGTGACAAGTGCAACGTCTGCGTGCACCAGGTGGCCAGCCCCCCAAAGGTCCCTATCCGCACTGTGTCCTCACACGCAGCCCGGCGGGCCCCTGCCTGGAGCTGGTCATCCTGACTGGGAGTGTAGCAGCACTGTGGGCACAGGCTTCTGGGAAGAAGGGCAAGGTGGGAGGAAGGGACTGGCATGATTGTCCTGTGGCACCGGGCCAGCTCCGTCAGCCAGACCTGAGTAAAGGCCCGTTGGATGACCTTTCTGTCCTGCCTGGCAGACTCCCCACTGAGCACACGGCCCCTGCCTTCCTCCTCTGCTCCTTACCATCCTGCACTACAAAGGGGCCGCTCAGTGTAGTGGTTGAGAGCAGAGCCTGGAGCCGGGCTGCCTAGTTTCAAATTGTGGCTCTGCCCTTTACAAGCTCTGTGGTTTAGAGCGAGTTTCTTAACCTCTCTGGACCTCTCCCCTCAACTGTACATAAGATTAAGTTGTAGAAAGGTCTGAGTTATTGGCTTCGAATAGTATCCTAAGGGCTCTAAGTGTTTGTTACCATTGTTGATATAAACTGGGTCTGGCCTGACCAGGCCCACCCCTTGGACCTTGGGCATCCCTGGGCTGTTTGCAGACCTGACTGGAACACAGTGGACCCACTCGGGCTCTGACTTTGATGCCCGCCTGCCCTCCCCCACACACACCGCTGCTGGACTGTCTCCTGGGAACTCAGAGAGGCCTCCCCTGGAGGGCGGGTAGGAGGCAGTACACCCCATTCACCCACACCCCTTATACTCAGCAGCTCTTAGGTTCATGAACCCTCAGCATGACTAAGAGGACCCCCTTCACAGATGCCTGTGAAAAAAGATGGAAGGTCTGCTCCTTGTCCTCAGGCAGTATACACACCAAAACACACTCAGCTGAAGGCAGCGTGGACACTTCTGAGGCCCCTCACAGGTTAGGACCCTCTGGCTAAAGGGACAGTCCTCCCAGCAGAGGGCAGACATGAGCCCTTCCACAGAGGACTGAAATGGTGACTTCTCGCACACAACACAGACAAGTCCTCAGGGGGTCTCCTTGCCAGAGCCTGGTAGCAGGGTAGCTTTGTAGCTCCCAGCCCGGGTGGGGGCTGGGACATTCACAGCCGACTCCTGACCAGGTGCAGATTGACCAATGCCTCTGACCTGTGACCACCCTGCTCTCTTCCCAGGCCTGCTATGGGATCCTCAAGGTGCCCACAGGCAGCTGGCTGTGCCGGACGTGTGCCCTGGGTGTCCAGCCAAAGTGCCTGCTCTGCCCCAAGCGAGGAGGAGCCTTGAAGCCGACCAGAAGTGGGACCAAGTGGGTGCACGTCAGCTGCGCTCTGTGGATTCCTGAGGTGGGCAGGTGGGGCGGGGGCGGCCCCGGGGAAGTGGGTCTGCATGGAACTCAGAACTCAGGGGGCAGAGCACTGGGAAAGGAGGGTGATGAGCCACAGAACATGGGATCTCAGGTGTTGAGCCTGGAGAACACTGGGGCTCCCAGGGAACTTTGCTATGGACTTGGTCAGAACTCAGGTGGTGGTTTCCAGGGGAAATGGACCCTGGGAATCCAGTGGTAGGTCTGAGAGCTGGACAAAAGTCAGGCAGCTGACAGGAAAGCAGGTTGTGGGTCCGCCCCCATTGAGGCAGTGGTTCCAACCAAAGCCAAGCTGTCTTAGAAGTAAGCCAGGTGACCTGAAAGGAAATTGGGTGGAAGCCTAATTGAAAGTCGGGTAGTGGGCCTGCTGCTGGGGCTGTGGCTAGATAGAGGGGTGTCCTGGGTCTGAGTCTAGGTGGGGAGGGACCGTGGATTTACAGACTAGGTCCACAGTGAGATCGCAGAGGCCCTGGCCTCCCAGAGGGCATCCCATTTTATTTGAAACAGGAAATGCTGAAATCTCCTGGAGTTTCAGCCCCGGCCCTGTTATGTGCCATGACCAGAATGGGACCTCACTCCGATGCTGCCATGCCCGGAAGCAAGCCAGGTGGCCCTCACCTTCCTGGGCTCCAAGTCTGAAGGACCTTGCTGAGACCCACCTCGCAGGCTTCTGTGATAATGGTGGTTGTGTCAGCAGTGGTCACTTGCTTCCACTGAGTATGCCCTGGGACAGAGAACCAGCAAGGACCCCACCTTGGGAGCCCTTTGGTTTAGGACTTCTGGGCAGGGGCTCTTCCATCCTTAGGCATGGGCGGCGGGTGCGGGGGGGAGGCTGTGCCCAGGAGATGTGGACATGGGTATAGTCCCCATAGGAGAGACAGGAGGGCCTAAACAAGGGCCCTGGAAGGCCTCCAAGAAGAGATGCTACCCCAACCCTGAGACCATTACTTGTTGCCCAGAAAAATAAAATAAAGACAAATTATGATAAGAACTCGGAAGATGCTATTGCCAAAGGGCTGAGGTACAGAAGAGAGGGGACCTTGCATGTACTCATTTAGACACACACACTCTGAAGCATCTCTGTCTCAAGGGCCACACAGTTGTAGGCACACACACTCAGTTACACTACTGATGTGCACCGTCTCACACAGTCACAAACAATGTGAGACTTGTCGCAGGTGAGCCCACACTCACCCACTGGTCAGCTTGGGACAGTCAGGAAGGACTGGGGATTCTGGGGCTCTCCCATTGTCCTGTCTGCCTCCCACCTGTGTCAGCAGACAGCCCCCCATTTGGGGATCCTTGGGGCAGGCTGAGGACAAGAGGCCTGATGTAGCTCCCTGTGTCCTGCCCAGGTCAGCATCGGCTGCCCCGAGAAGATGGAGCCCATCACCAAGATCTCCCATATCCCAGCCAGCCGCTGGGCTCTGTCCTGCAGCCTGTGCAAGGAGTGCACGGGCACCTGCATCCAGGTACATGGCCACTTCACCTCGCTGCTGCCCGGGAGCCCATGCAGGAGCCAGGTGCCACCCCCTCCACCTGTCTGTAGTGGTGCTACAGACAGAGCCACTAATGGGCCAAGGAAGCCTGAGACGGGGAGCAGTCAGAACCCCACGTGGGGGGCATTCCTCTAGGCATAGGGGGCAGGCCTGGGAGCCAAGGCTTACCATCCCATTGGAGTGCTGAGGACTTTGACTTATTAAGCTCAAGACCAGGTTTCTTTGTGCTTAATAAATACATTGACCTGGCTTCTGGCATCAAGCATGACATGTAGCAGGCGTGGGAATCAGTTAGGCTCTTGCCACACGGGGCAGGGCTGCAGCAGTCCATTGACAGCAGTGGTTCCCAAATCCTAGTGTGATCCTTGTTACCCGAGGGCTTGTTAAAACACAGATGGCTGGGGTGGGGCTGAGAATTTGCATTTCTAGCAAGTTCCCAGGTGATACTACTGCTACTGGCCTATAGGCTGGGAGGTAGGGACATCCTGTCTCTCCAGGAACAGTTGTCATTGCAAACCTAGCTGTGCCTCTGCCCATTTGTACGGCTTTCAGATGGCTTGTGAGTGCAGCGGAAATGGCCACTCATAGTGGGATGGGTTATCGCTGAGACAGTTATCAGCTGCCCACGACCATCATCCCAGGCTGGGAGGGAGGGGCAGGTGCTGCCTGGGCAAGAGAAGGAAAGGGTCCAAGTGCAGTCCCTCTTCCCAGAGGACAAAGGAGGTACAGCTCCCCTGACGTTGCAGGAGCAGAGGAGGCAGGGACTCCTCACCAGTCTCTTTCGATGCCTCTGATTCCAAAGTCATTTTGCCCACACAGGCATGCAGCTTGCCCCCAGAGGGGTTGTCCAGTCGAGTGTTAGGAGCCCATGCCATTTTATTTAGGGTCTCACCGCATTCTTCGTTCTCAGGACCCTGGGGGATGCCCACATCCTTCTTACCTCCCATCAGGGATCCCCCCATGTCTGACACTGCACTTGCTGTCCCTCCAGTGTTCCATGCCTTCCTGCATCACGGCATTCCACGTCACATGCGCCTTTGACCATGGCCTAGAAATGCGGACTATATTAGCAGACAACGACGAGGTCAAGTTCAAGTCATTCTGCCAGGAGCACAGTGACGGGGGCCCGAGGGTTGAGCCCACATCGGAGCCGGTGGAGCCCAGCCCGGCCGGCGAGGACCTGGAGAAGGTGACTCTGCGCAAGCAGCGACTGCAGCAGCTGGAGGAGGACTTCTATGAGCTGGTGGAGCCGGCCGAGGTGGCTGAGCGCCTGGACCTGGCCGAGGCGCTGGTCGATTTCATCTACCAGTACTGGAAGCTGAAGAGGAAAGCCAATGCCAACCAACCGCTGCTGACCCCCAAGACCGACGAGGTGGACAACCTGGCCCAGCAGGAGCAGGACGTCCTGTACCGCCGCCTGAAGCTCTTCACACACCTGCGGCAGGACTTGGAGAGGGTGAGTGCTCCTGCCGCCCCCTGCCCGCAGGCCACTGCTCACTGCCCCGGAGCAGCTGTGGCTCACCAGGGCTCACACTGTGACCTCTGGCCCAGGGGCTGAGGGCCTCCAGGTCTCATACAGGGAGGAGGTTACTGACTTTGTAGAACAGGGAAGGATCCAGCTCTTGGGTCTGAGTCCCTCTGGTCCCAACCCTTTGGAAGGCCTGGTGAAGGGTCATGAGGCTGGAGACACTGGAGCGGGGGCAAGGACCCAGGCTTCCAGCTCCCCTGGCTTCCGGCCCCTGTGTGGCCTCTGTGAGCCCTGCCCGGGTGCAGCACACAAGCTCCTGCTTAGAGTCAGAGGCAGGGGAGGAACTGGGAATGTCGAGTGAGCTGAACCAGCCCAACAAGTATGTGCTAGGCCAGGGCAAGGAAGACAGGTGTGACTATGGCTCCCCGGGGTGCCGGACAGAAGAAATGGAGTGAGCAGAGGGGTGAGGGTGGGCTCACCTCTGTGGAGTGAAAGGATGTTGGGTGGGCCGAAGTGTCTAGAAGTTACAGAAGGCTTTTAAGCAGGGACTGCCCTGCTGTGACTTCCACTTCCAAACACTCACCGAGGGGGAATCTGAGGGCCTGGAGGGAGTGGGCGGGTTGGCTAAACACCCCCTTTTCCCCCCAGCTGTGAGCTGAGAGACTGGTGATCTTGGCTTGGTCCAGGATGGTAGCTTTGGGGGCTGAGTGAGATGACAAAGGGGTACAGACGCTGTGGTTTAGGGCTGAGCTATAGAGGTATAGAGGTTGGGGAGGAGCAAGAGCATGGAAGACCCTACAACCTCTAATCCCTCCTACTCGCCCCAGAGGAAGTGAGGGGGTCCTTGAACATGGCTTTCTGGCACCCTTCCACCTGCAGCTAATGAAGTGCCACCCGAGTTGGGGGCAACCCCAGGAGGAAACAGGATGTTCTGGTCCTTGGGTCAGTCCTCTGAATCCCAGGTGCTGGTCTGGCACCCTGTGTGGGACATTCAGTTCAGGGTCCCAGACCACATGGGATGGTGACCAGTGTCCTGCACAGCAGACACACTTGCCCACCCTTCCCCAGGTCGTGTCAGGAAACGCACACAGCAGCTAGAGGGCCTGTGTGGCCTGAAGCAGTGGCTCCGTTGGCAAGTCTATAAAATGGGTAGAGCAACTCCACAGGTGTTGTGCTGTGGGGGAGGCGGGAGCGGGCATGAGGTGGAGGCTCTGAAACTGGACTGGACTTCTCCACGTTCGGCCCACTCATCTGCCCTTTCGCACGGTCAAAGGGAAACGACCCTGTTGGCCTTGGAGGGAGGGAGCTTTCTGCCTGACAACCAGTCTGCCACCAGGTCAGAAGGGAGAGGTGTGCAGGGGGTGGCACCAAATGTCCCTGGTTCCAGCAGGGCAGAGGGCAAGGCCACCCACATTGCAGTCACCACTGCCTGGGCAGCCTCGCCTCCTGCCTCTTGTGGCAGCGCCGTCAGGTACAAACCCTTCAGAGCTACTGCCAGGGTTGTCCTAGGCCACCCGCAGGTCTCCAGTGCAAACACGCTGCTTTCACTCCTGCGGTCCCATCAGATCGAGCTCTCTGGTCTGTGCTGGTCAGCCCTGTGTCTGGCCCTGGCTAGGCTGTGTGGGGAGGCCAGCGGGTAGGCTCACTGATTTCATCCTAGAATAAGGTGGGTACTCTCAGCCCCAATGAGCAGGTGAGGAACCTGGGGCTCCGAGAGGTGAAGTGACAGGAAGCCTCAGAGGACCGTGTGTGTTCCAAGAGTTGGATTTAGACCTGAATAGGGGAGGGGTTTGTCAGAAAGAGGGTTGTTGGCTCATTTTCTCTTCTGTATATGTCCTGAGCAAAGGCATCCTCTTATGGGCAAAAGCATCCTCTATCAGTCCCTGAACTCCCTACCACCCCCACCCTGTTAGCTGGTACAGGTGCTCCGAGGGTCAACCTTGCCAAGGGTTAGGGTGCCAGCTCTGGGGCAACAAGAGCTGCCACACGGATCCCTCTGGTGGGGGGACAGAGTCCTTCAGAGTCAGCCCACTCTTCCTCCAGGAAAGGGAGGCAGGCCCGGCTTTCATCTCTGAAGCTTCTTAGGGCTCAGGAGGCCTGTCAAAATGCTGCTTCTCCAGCTGGCAGCAAAGTGAGGGTGTGCAAGCCATGCGCCAGGTCGACCCCCTCCAGGTCCAGCCTCAGTGCCTTTCACAGCCACGCGTGGGTGACTGAAGTAAGTGAATAAAGCCGAGCACTGTGCCGCAGGGGAGGCTTTCTGGAAAGACCCATGAATGCTGGTGGCGTGGCCAGTGGGTCCAGCCTCTGCCCATGGCCCAGTGCTGACGGCCGAGCGTATCCAGCCTGTGACTGCGCACAGGCCAGCTTGGGCTGGAGCCATCAAGAGGTCGAAACCTTGGGCAGCCAGGGTTGGCATCCAGTCCAGCGCTTCTCAGCTCGGTGTCTTCTGAGTTTCAGTTTCCACTTCTCGGAGTTTTAGTTTCCTTGTCTATCGAATGGGATAAGGATCACACTAACCTTAGGGGTCCCCGTGAAGACGGAGGACAGAGCTTAGCACAGTGCCCTCCTTGTTGGTGGTGGTGATCATCGCTGCTCTGGCTTGTAGAGGGGTGGCCGGCCTGCAGGGTGGGGGCTCCATGGAGAATTGAAAGGTAGGCCCAGTGCCTGGGACCACAGGGCATCCTCCCTGGTTGATTTGCCCCCAAGGCCAGGAAGGAGTTTTGCTGAGAGAAGCAAGAGCTGGGCCGTGCTGCCGCCACCATGGAAGATGTGCTTTTCTAACATTGTAGCCACAGGCCTCAGCCCTGGTAGGCAGCTCGGGAAGGCGTGGCCACTGCAGCCTCCCAGAGCTATTCACAGTTGACAGAAACATTGCAGCACCGGCAATGAGCAAGTGCGCTGGTGTCCCCTAGCAACCGAGGAGGCAGTTCCGGCTGTGAGGGCTCTGCTGCCTGTGGGCCTGGATCTGGTTACCAGGGGTTTACTCGAGAGCCTGGCCTGGCCTGAGTGGGGCTCGGCGGGCAGGGGCGGCTCTCAGACACACCCCCCAGCGGAGGATAATAGTGAAGGAACCCCTCCCCCAGGCCTCGTTTCCCATGGCTCTCCCCAGAGAAAAAGACCCTGCACCTGCCTCCTTGTCACCGGTCACTCCCCACTCACTGTGTCCTCAGTGCCTGGATTGCGGTCTGCTTGGCCGCCCCTGAAGCAGCCTTGGCCTCCAGCACTCGGGCTCCTCAATCCCTGCATCTCCCATCTCTGGGACTTTCTGACCCATTAGTGCCCCCGTCCCACTCAAACCCTGTCACCGCCTCCAAATCCCCACATCCCCCTCCTTAACCACAGCCTCCTGTTCTCCCTGCTCAGTTGCCTCCCAGGCCCTCTACCCTTCACTGTCCCTTATTTTCTTCATTGACATTAGCTCGCTGCCTGTCCTCTTGCCCCTATATGGAGGCCACACCCCTGCCAGAGCCTCCTC